TTTACGTTCACATCTTAATCTGAGAACAAACTTTATTTAAAGGCTCATTGCTGCAGACATAAGTTTTTTTTTCTTCTCTCCTATAGGAGGCGTTATTCTCAAGTTACTCCATCCTTGTTTAGTCTGAGATTTTAGTAAATTATAAGGAAATCTGGCAGTGTGATGATACTGCCCCAACATGTATGGTAGTGACCATCAACTGGCGACCCGTGGGCCCAATCTGGCCCCTTTTAACTGTCCAATGTGGCCCGCTCTGTCCAATCTGCCCCCCCATCCCTGATGTATCGAGTCTTGTTCCTGGTACACCTGTCGGCCATTACCTTTCGTCGTCCTTGTATTTTGTTTAGAATTCTTGGCCATTTTGGATAAATGAGGATCACGACCCTGGCTTTCTGCATCACTAAGCCCTCGCACTATTTCCTCACAGTCAAGGGCAAGAGGCTGGGGCTCATATTGCAAAACCTCTGCGGAGACGGTTTAGTAATTACACACTGGAAACCAATCAGCCTGAACACTGCTTCTTAATTAGCCAAACAAAACAACGGTGCATGGACTGGACGACCCCGGAGGTCACACGCTCCCCACAGGTATTACACAAGGTGTACCTTTTTCTGGAGAGTTTATTCTCTCTGGCCACTCTTCCATGATGCAACCCACAGATGTATTACAGATGGAATGAGTCAACCTGCAGAGCAAATGAAGTAGCCAGATCCCACTGGATCAGAGCTACGGTCTGAAGGTGGCACTGTCTGATGACTGACTTTTTTTTTTTTTTTTTTAGCTTTCCTTGAATGCAAGCTTCAGTGTGTGTGTGTGTGTGTGTCAGATTTACCCAGAAACACACAGCTTGTCTTGATACAATTACATTATATTTTAATTCAGTGATTATAAAGTTCCTGGAAAAATCAACTTTTGTTCCATGTAGAACTCCTTCCTGTCATTTTAAATGATTCACAGGAAGTGTATGATGCTGTGTTCACCAGCAGGGGTGCCCACCTGCTGGTGAAGACCCACCGTCTGTTTTTGCAAGTGAGACTAATACATGTGGACAGAAATGGGAATCAAATGGAAAATACAGCCCAGTAGGTGGCAGTAATGCAATATATATAATATGCTCTGCTTAGCGAAACACTGAAGGACCCATACGGTTGAAAAATTAGTGAGTAAAAAATATCAACATTTGCCTTCTTTTGTCTTCTATTCTGTTCTATATCCATACAACCGTACTGTAAATATGACTGCTCAGTATTGATTGGCTGCCTGCTCTGATGTTTTTGTCCTGACCCACAGTTCTTAGATCTCTAGTCTTCAAATCCTAGGTATTATTTTTTCTAATGGAAAATACGACTGTTTTAAATGACAATTTTTTATTTAAATAATTCTACTACAACACTTAATTCTTCAAATAAGAATTTTAAATGTAGTCATAGCACCACCTGCAGGAGAGGAAGCAGAGCTACGTCATTTAATTTTTTTATTATTTTTATTTCATGAATGTAGCTGTGTATATGATAGATAGACCAGAGAGAGGGATGGATGAATTCTAACTTATTTTTTCCATTTTCTTCCAGAAATGAAGAAAATGTTGTGATATTAGATGTTGTGATGCTCCTAAATAGAGCACAGGTTCAGACACCGAAAAAACCCAAATGACAACTCTCGTGTCAAGATGTGTGTTCTCAGGCGCTTCGGTAATAGGCAGCATTATAACAAATGGAACACAATTGCATGTGTGAACAAATATCATTTTCATTTGGATGAAAAAAAAAAACAACCCAAATGGACTGGTGTAAACATGCTGTGTTTCAGTCCTGCCACTGTACTGAAGACTGTTCACATCAAGTTACAGCGGCTGAGGACTTTGATGAATGCTCCAACTATAAATGTACATTTCTCTTGCACATATGATATTTACAAGGATATTCATAATACAGTATCTGGTAATGGACTGCACAGTATTTGCCTGCTTGCAACAATCCATCCTGTAATGCTACCCAGTCCAAATTACTAGCAGAAGAACTGCTTCAAATTTCCTACATTGACAAAAAAAAAAAAGAAAAAAATTTCTTAAAAGACCGACCTCCCCTATAAAGCTCCAAGAAATGACAGTAAAAATAGTTCAGATTAGAGAAACCTGAAATATGTGGATAATGAGCTCTGGAGTTCGTGGGTAACCGAGGGAATAGGGCTGACATGGTGCCAGAGAGTTTTTTCTTTTCTCTTTTATTAACAGTTGGGTTGGGTTTGCTGGTAATAGTTTTTCATGTCTATCAATGTCTCTCTCCAGAGTCGGCAGTTACATGCTGTGTCATTAAAGGTCAGAGCAAATTGGATCCTCAAATGCTCAGTAGTCGAAAAAAAAAAAAAAAAAAAAAAAGCTAGGCTTCTTAATAGCTTGTGTAAGAATGCCAATAAATTCTCTGATTATTATTAATGATTTTCTCTGCATCGATTTGGCCTCATCCTGTTGCCAGGGTCTTGGGTAATCTCCCACCGTTGAATCATAACGGTGAAGTATATTGCAGTAGATACCTGGCTGCTGTTTTTGCAGTAGTGAAGTGCAAACACACATCCGTCGTCCTGCTGGACTGGGAGGGAATGCAAAAACTTGCATAAGTTATGCATGAGTGTAGCGTTTAGAAACCAGAACAGTGCCATTGGAATGACAGCGTGATGTTGTTCCAACTCCAGCGGGGGCAGTAAATACTTAATTTACCTCTTCTTATTATTTAACACGTGCACACTCTGAGCAGGTTTAAGACACATGTGGAATAGTATTAATCATGTATTATGTCACGATGTATAATGTGGATTTCTTTAAACAATACGTTATTACCGCCGACAACAGTGGCGCAGATGTGAGGCTTTATATAAATATGGGGATTTAAACCTACAGCGCATCAATTATTCATCTCTCCTGCCTCCAAACACAGGACCTGAGAAGAAAAAGTCCCAACGTTTCAACATATTTCCTTTCCTACCATATATATTTAAACTCCGTAGTATTGTTTCAATGTGTAAAATAAACAATTTCACTCTTAGGAAATGAACAAGTGGAGGTCAAAAAGTTCTAATACAGATACAATAGAATACAATAGAATTCCTTCTTTATAAACTCCTAGTGGATATCTGTAGGACCGGGTCTCAACCCCCTCTGTCTCATCTATGGACTAATCCATTTTAAATATTATTTTTAGTTTAAGTAAGTAGAGAAAAAGAAAAGAGAGAGAGAGAGAGAGGAAGAGGGAGAGCCAGACTGGCTCAGTCTACAGGTCTACAATCTATTTGACAATTGTGTCAGTCCACATTACGGTCATTGAGAGGAATTTTAATCTTGAGGGTCTTTGGTGAAATGAAAACTTTTTCTCACAGTTGGTGGAAATGACAATAGGTGCATTGAATTTTTTTATCACCATTGAGGCATTCATTTCGACAGCCCGAGTGTTATACTGTATATTAAAATGAGACACCTTTTGAAATTAGTACGTGTTAGACCTTTCCTAATTACTTAATGGTACACATCACAGATGGGGTAAATATTTATTTTTCTCTTCTTTAGCTGAAGGAAAATTTCACCCCTTTCTGACCTTCATAGCCTATTTCTGTAAAGCCCCCAGATGGTTCAGACGTGAACAGTGACGAATGTTTACAAAACAGAGCAGGAAACTCGCTAAAAAAGCGGCACCGTCAGGAATTAAGGAGGTCGTGTTTGCCTTTTTTCCCCCCAAGCTGCTTTCCAGTCGTCACCAGTCAGTGCTGTATAATACTCACAGCACCTTTTGAGGACAAGCAGATAGACGCGCCTCTAAAACCTCCCCATCATTTCTCTGTCATATCGACTGCCAAGTTGATATTTCACTTTCTGTTATGTGACATTTGGCTGACGGAACAGAGGTGTTGAGGACAGCCATCACCAGGAGAGGAGGCAGAGCAGGTGGGAGGGAGAAAGGATGAGAAAAAGGAGTTAAAAAACAGAGGAGGGGGTCGATGAAAGAGAGCGGGAGCTCACAGACAGTGAGGAGGGAAAGGACAGAGGGAGACAGAGAAACTGTCATACCTACCCTTATCACAGCTGTCTTCAGTTTCCCCCATGTCTCTTTTCAAGCGGCAGCAGAGGGTGCATATTAACTGTAATTGTGAGTCTTTGTCCAGGCCATTCACTTGTCTAAGTCTGGGCGAACACCCCACCACAGACTCAAGCAGGTGGTGAAGTCTCAGCAGCACCACACAGAATTCCCTTCATGCTTTTAGTCCAAAGAATTTTTTTCTTTCTTTCTTTCCTTCTTTTTTTTTTTTAAACTCTCACAGGAAGTAGGCTGTGAAACATTTTGCATCAAGTGAGAAATGTGAGAAAATTAACACAGAAAGTGAAGGAGATTGTTATTGTAGATTTTTTTTTTCATTCAACACCACAGGTTTTATTTTAAAAACAATTAAGGTGCAATGCGAGGAATTTAGGAGAGAGCAGCGGTTCCCAAACTTTTTTGGCTGCACAAGCCCTTTAATATCCCAATCGGTACAAAATACCTCCAATTTCCCACACCTTGGAAAAAACTAAAAAACAAAAAGCTATAAGCTTCTCTCTTAAAATGTCAGCTTCTGATTTTGATTTGATTTTTTTATTTAAACATCTTTATTGTTTGAGAAAAAAAGAAAATCCCACTCAGAAAAATCTCACAACTCGCGCAACTACCACACCCTTAAGGCAATAATTTGCTTATATGATAACTGTGTATTACAGGTATGTATAGACATTATACTGCTTAAAATAACATTTATTATCATGTTATGTATAATATTTATATTTAAAAATGTAATTGCTAAAACTTCTTCTTCGTTGTCGTTGAAAAACAAGACTAAAAAAAAATCGCCGGGACGAAATCCAATCAGCGAGGATTTCGTCATGTACTACGGCGACACGGTAAGGACCAATCAGGGCCAAGTTGTCCAGCAAAAAGGCGGAGACCCAATCATAGCAAACGACTTCCTGGTAGCTACGAAATTAGCAGCGGGAAGACTGCGGTCAAGTTGTGAAACATTGTAACCACAACAGGTTCGTTTGGAAGGATTTGTGGCTTTATTTTCCGTTTGGCTTTACCGAGAACACAATTTGACTCACTGTCAAACTTTGTGGGACGACTAACTGAGGAAAATACGACATATTGTAAACGTTATCTCCTGGCAGGTACGTTTACGCAAAGGTAAGCAGTATCCAAGTTACCTGGCTGTAAAGCCTCTTCTCAGTATTTTAATCCTACAATGTTGATACTGAAACGGATATGATAATAATGTATACTTAGTTGCAACTAAAATTTAGAATATATTACAACATCATCAATCATTAATCATTAATACATATATATTAAAAAAAACAAAACATCTTCCTATCACAATACCGTGTAGGCCCAAGGAAAGTTTCAAGGACAGTTTAGTACATTTCATAAACGTTAACTTTTTAAAACGTATAATTGACAGTTAATTCAAAGGAATTATGTTGATGATTGATGATTTTGAACTGAAACGAAACTAATATTTAAATAAGTATATTAGCTAAATGGAGACCAAGACTAAGTTGCTATATATATTGCTTGTTTGTGGAGCTTTGGTTGTTAGTCTCTCTGGAGTAGGTAGAGTGAGTTGGTTTGAGTGTAAATAAAAAAAATGTCACTTTTTGATTTTTTTTTTAACTGTACATAGTGTTCTTTATTTATTTACTATTATGTTTTCTTACATTATAAGGGATTTTGTTGTGTGTTGTGCAGGATTGGCTCCACCCCCGCACCCCCTCCTGTGAACTTGGGAATGATTAATGGATGAGTGAAAGGTCACAGTAGTTCTCTGACATGTATGGGAAAAGCAAAGGATGAGCAAAATTTTTTCTGTTTTACTGTTAGATGTCACTAAATTCACACACTGGACCTCTCAGAAAGGCTCGCTTTGGCACTGTGAGTACACACACTTCTGCTGTACAGTATATAGTGTCCAGATGTAGTTTCCATGCCTACAGTAAGTAGCTCATCTAAAAGCTGGTATGCAATGATAACCTTGAAATCCTGCTCAGTGAGAGCTCCGTCGGTGGAAGCTGAAGCAGGGAAGCGTGGGGCGCATAAAGCCCACCATCAGATAACTAAGTGTACCCAAGTGAAATGGAAGTGAATTCTTTATCATAAGATATGTGCTCCGTGTGGTGTTTAGTGTGGCTGGAAAACACACTGTCGTGTTCAAGGGACGCACAGTAGGGCTGCGGCTCAGGGTGACTTTTAACCTTGGATTATTGTATTGATTTATGAGCTTCTTGGCTCAGTTTTAGAATCAGGTGAAATGATGACAGTTGTTAAATGTGAATGTGATGGGATTTAACTTTGAATATATGAGTTTGTTGACAACATTTTTGTTCAATTTTGTTTTTGATGCTCAAATATTGATGACCTTGACTGTGTCGGGGGTTAGGGTTCAAAAGTTTGACTTAATATTAAATCATAGAGTATGTTGTTTTTTTACAGTGTCTTTTACATGTGTATAAACTCTTGGATTTCACTGATATGTAGACACATAATAAAGCACTGAAACACACATCAGGCATTTAAACCTGGAGTGAAGTAACTAACCACTTTAATATTGACTGTGAACAGGTCCAAATTCATTGACCAAAGTAAAGAAGTCGCTCTGGTTACAGACGACGCCGTGGTCCTGGAGGTGAGTCTGTTGCAGGAGTTAGTCTCGTTGTCAGCTATCCTGACACGCTGCCATTGCAGAGAAATCCTCAGCGTGACCCTCTTTGTCATCACCTGACACCGGCGCAGGTACAGCGCGGCAGATTAGCATGATCAAGGTCGGTCTGAGTGCACTGACCTGAATGAGTCGCAGCAAAGGGGAGTGAATGCACCTGCTTAGTTGAAGGAGGGGGGGGGGGGGGGGGGGGGGGGGGGGGGGGGGGGGGGGGGGGAGGGGAGGAGAGGAATATGAAGAAAAATATGGGTAGGGAGAGGAGGCAAGAAGAAAGAGGAGATGAGACAAGGAAAGGGAAAGGGGGAAATGAGAAGACTACAAAAAGAGGAACAGAAATGATAGAAGTGAGGAATGCAGAGATGATGAAGAGAGGATGATGGGACTAGAAGAAATGAGGAGGCAATACAAGAGATGGGATTTGAAGAGGAAGAGAGAAGAAAGAAGACAAGAAGAGGAGGAGAGAGGAGACACATAATCAAAATGAGAATGCAGGCGGACTGATGAATGAGCTTTTAATCTGCATAGAAATAGCTAGGTTACTAAATTGAGCTGTGGTCTTCTCAGACTGGTCTGATGTATGAGAGTGCTCTGCTGAGGGATCTTAGTGCAACACACAGCCTCAGCTTTATTAGACTATGTTTGTCCTTCCAACGTTGACCTTATTCCCGGCCTTAATTAAATGCTCCCTTAATGACTTCCCCGTCTCTGCAAAGTTTTGCTGACGTGTTGGTGTGTGTACATATATAAAATTGCATCTTTGCCCACACACTGGATTTTTGTGGGAGGTGCACACTGTATGGTCCGGCTTCGGGGTTGTGCACGTGGGAGGTGGTTTGCTGTAATGTGTTATGTGTATTTACAGCTCGATGATATTTTGCCGTGTGATTAAGCGCTTGCCAACATGTGCGTGCTGGTCTGTGTCGGAGAATCCCAGCAGCACACATTTATTGTTCTACACCCTTATTTCATTAAGCAGCATGTCTGTAATTGCATTGCAGATGAGTGGAGGCTGCCGGAGTCACTATGGAGATTTTATATGAACCACCAAAACCGTCTGATTAAAGAGGTGGTGTGCAAACCTGGGACTGAGAGTGGAGAGAAGCTTTTTAATGAGATTTTTAACCCACTAATTCAATAGTCAAAAGTAAACAGAAAGGAGGTGGGGAGGGAGAAAGACACATGGGGCACTGTGGAGTAGCAGGGGAACGTGCAGACAATCACTCCAACATTAACCGTGTGCCATTATTCCAGACCAGCACTGGACCAGTTAGGATTAGTGTGGCTGGGTTTCATTTCTTTGTTTTCCTCTCAGGACCCCTCCTCTCCCTCCCACCTTGCATTAATCCATCACTTTGAAGACTAATCCTTTTGAACATTCAAACCAAGTGCCAGCAAGGCTGCAACATGATCAATTACACCTGCCGTCCCAGTCTTCCATGTCACACAGACATCAGTCCCCACCACCTTCATTTTGCTGACACTATGTGCTTCTTTTTTTTTTTTTTTTCACCCCCGCAGTCGTATGAAAAATGCTCACCGGCTTTGAGGGCATGGCTTTTTACTGCGACTCAAATTCACCCCAGTTTTCCAGCACATAAATCTTTTTTCTTACTCTAGCGCTAACCATCTTAAGACAGTGTAATAATGACTTGCATTGTGTTGGTCATGAAATTGCAGCAGAGTAAAAGGTGCTGATGCACTGATTTGTCTTACCTTGTTACCCAGCAAACACTTTCTGTTAGAGGTGGGGTTGTACAGGGGGAGTGATGTAGAGTGTTTTGGGCTCCAGAGTTAATTCCTCTGCTCTGTTGCCACAGCAAGAGCTTTTTTTTTCTATGCATTGTTTCTCAGTGGCCTACATAATGGGCAGTGTTCTGGTGAAAAGGATCCTAAGGGGGGGACTCTAATAACCCAGATAGATAGTGCTGTTACATTTCTTTCTCCAGGCACTCTGTCTCTGCCTGCCAGTGCCCAGGTACCATAGTCATAGCATTCACGGCACTTCCTCTGCCATGTAAATAGTATCTATCACCAGGAGGAGTGGTTAAAGCATGGAGCGAAGGGAGGGCGAAAGGTGGGTTGAGAAAGAGGGAGAGCCTGACTTTTGTCAGACAGCAAATAAAGATGGCACTTGCACATTAGGTGTTGTGATTATTCATGCTCGACATAATTCAGTGTGAAAATGATGTGCGGTGGCTTCTATACGTCAGAATGTGTGAGTGAGTGTGACTGGAGCTGCCTTTTGTCCGAGATCAAATGTCACACTCATTGCAAACTATCATATTGATAAAAAAAAAAAAAAAAGAAAAATCCCGGTGTCACCAGTGGATGTACTCATGCGGGTGTAATGGAGCGTGAAATGCATTAAGCCTCTGTCACTCTCGGCGCTGGTCAGCCATTAGATCCTTTATTTTCCCAAGACAGGGCACATTTATGATCTGTAGTGGCACAAGCTGGCTTAGATATCACGGCTGACCGCAACTGTAACTGCGTATAAAAAAACAACAACAAAAAACGCAAATTACAGGATTTGTTAATGAAGATGATGATGAAGAAAAAGATTCAGCAAATGTACCTGTTCTCCTCTTATTAGGAATATTTCTTAACGTATTTGTTTGATATATTTATCTATTTTTAAAGCATGTGAGTTTGTTGTTCATCATTCCTAAATATAATACTATACATTGCTTGAGTCAGGAAACGTCAGGTAGATGTATGCAATTTACACCTGCTTTAATTTGTGACTAATGGAATTATTCACATTGTTGTCAGATGTGTTGATAAATGGCATGTTATGAACATCCCATTCATGTGTACAGATTTTTTTTTTAATGTTTTAACATAAATAAAATTTCAGTTTGTTGAAACTCCCTTTTCTGTTCTATTCTTTCTTATTTCTGAGTATATATTTGTTCAAGAAAAAAATAGTTGCCGTGACAGCCCTCCTTGCGGAGGTGGTGACATTGCCATTCCGGGCAAAGGTTGTTACTGTATGAATTGAAGGAATGCCATCTCATCTTTTCTGTCATTTCATATTTTTCTCATTCCCGTTGTTCTTGAACATAAAGTTGTAAAGTACGGGTCATTTTCTGCCCTTGGTGCTACAGCTAGTCGTGGGAATTAAGTTGTTTGTAGGTGGCCTTGTATTTTGACTCAATTCCTTTACAGAGAGCTGTTCAACGTACAACTCTTTGTTTTTTCCGTCTCTCTGGCAGCTCTGGGTCCAGCCCTGTAAACACGGATGTCTGAAGACTCAAGTGATGCAGCTGCGTTTTCAAGTGGGTTTCATTTACAAAACAGACTGCCACTTGTAACAGACTTGCTGTGAATGTTCACATAAAGTGGAAAAGACAATAAAAATAGGAGCTAAAGAAATATTTAAAAAACGTGACTGCCCTTATGGAGAAACAATAGCTAAACAGTAATGGTGAGAAATTTTCTTTAAATTACGACTCGACCGGCTTGTTCTCTGTATGTAACAGATGTTGAAAAGACACTGATTGTTGATAAATGTAACATCACTAACTCCATCTGATATCCAGACTCTGCAATCAGTCCTACTGCTCTGCTTCAGGATGAAGCTCTAAATATTTAATGAGGTTGCTTGGAGAAACATGGATCATTTGCATTCGCTGATTTTGACTGTTCAGAAAAGTTTGTAAAAAAAGGGCAAACCAAAGTTTGTTGAGCTTCTTCTGATCGATATTAATATGCATCAAATAACACTGCGTTTATCGCAGCTTTGTCTGTACGGCCTACAAGGGAGTTTGAGCAGCAGTCTAAGGATGTTGAGAGTGAACCATTGGACCAAAGTGCAGGGCTATTCAATTATAAATTAAGTTGGGCCTCATTTTCCATCCAAGAAAGTTGGCTGCAATGTATTTTCAGTAGATAGTTAAAAGGTCATCACTAGAAGTGATGCATTGTGAGTTGCATGTAGCTAGGCTACTTGGCGTTTCATTCATGTTTTGCTGATGAAACTGATGGAAAATCTGATTACTTACGTCAAAATTCTTTTACACCTGACCTTACACTTTGCCGCTTCTAAGTTGTGCCTGAGCTACATGTGGGCCGTGGGCCGCAAATTTGAAAAAAAATTTTTTCCAGATGATAGGTAGAGTCTACCATCTGTCTCGGATGACAGGTGAAGATGAAGGTGACCTGATTAACTGGGAAATTGACACTAAGCAGAGGAGTGTGCCTTGGTATCGCACTT